GAAAGATTTCAATTTTTATTCCATCAAGTCCTGGTCCTTGTTCTTTGCCCATTCCTTCAATGCACCTTCAGCTTCCTCCTTCATTATCATTGGGTCTTGATCATATGCTACCTCTTGAAACGGCTGAACATGAACCATTTCCTTTTGGTACAGTGACTCCATGTATTCCTTCCATCTTCTCTTGATGCTTTCTGTATCATTCAGTAGTTTCCCCAGAGACTCCTTCAATAATGAACGTTGAGGCTTGAATTCTTTTCTTCAGTTCCCCCAGCTTGAAAAATGCTGAGCATGTTCTTCCTTTTTGGCGTTCTGATTCCAGATCTTTGCACATTTTCTTGTAATATTTGTCTTTGTCTTTTCATGCTGTTCAGCTCTTGTACCTCCTCATTTCTTCCATTTGCTTTAGCATCTCTATGCTGGAGAGCAAGTTTCAGTGTCTCTTCTGACATCCATTTTGATCTTTTCCCTCTTTCTTGTCGTCGTAATGACGACAAGAAAGAGGGAAAAGATTTTTGTAATACAGAAATGACTACAAGCATACGTTGACCGAGAACTTCCAGAGTTCAGTGATGGATTTGTTAGAATTAGATAACCTGGTCTTTCTTCCAAGGCACTGCTGGATGGACTTGAGTCTCCAAACTTGCAGCTGTACACATTTATTGTTTGTACTACGCAGAGACTCCAAAGACAGGTTCAAAGGTCCTACTAGAAGGGGCAGGCCACCCATCCCTCTGGTTATGCATAAGCATCAGGGTCAACTTTAATAGGAAAAGGGAAAAAAAAGCATATTTTCAAAGGACCCCAACCTTTATGTCTGCAGACTCTCGGGCCTCTTTTTCCTTTCTTTTTTTTTTTTTCTTCTAAAGCAGCACCCTCGGAAACCCTGTACAGGGTCACTATGGGTCGGAACCGACTCGACGGCACTTAACAACAACAACAAAGCAGCAATATAAAGTAGCACGTCTTTCTTCATTTTTTAAATTTTTTTCCTCACTGACCACTAAAAATAACTAGCTACAGTTTTGCCAGTATTATGTACCCGGCACTTAGTATGTACTTAGATCATCTCAGTTAATTCTCATAACCCTGTAAAAATTATTATTAGAAATAAGGAAACTGAGGGTCAGAGTGGTTGTGTTGTAATTTACCAAAAATCACCTAGCTAGAAAGGAGGAAAACTAGTTTGTGATTCCAGAGTCTATTTTTTCAGTCAGTCTTCCCCTAGCCTCTACCAGGGCACCACACAAAACCCACAAAGAGGCACAGTTAGGCTTGGTCCTCACCTATGGCTGATAATGTTGCTTCCCACAGTGAGTCTCGTTTTCTTGAGCTGCTTTTGGTGGCTCCGTGTGTGTTGGTACAGCTTTGCTTCTCACAGCATGCATTGGGTTCTTCCATGGGTTTCCTGAAAAATCCGTATGTCCTGTTACCTTTCCTGGTGGCACTCAACAGGCTCTGTTTTTAGTTCTAGCTACAATTAGGGCTCCTGTAGAAAGACCTGTCTGTTCTGTGTGCCAGCAAGGTTTGGCAAGCTCTGCCTATATAGTTGGTTCTCAAGTTGGTGTACTTAAGAGATGTATTCTTAGTATTATATTCAACATCAGTTCTTTACATGAACTCCTGGTGTGACACTGTAGGATAAGCAATGGACTGCAAGATGGGTTTGAATCTCAAGGTTGGCAGTCCAAACCCACCAGCCGCTCCTTGGAAACCCTATACAGGGTCACTGAGTTGGAACCGACTTGACGCACTTAACAACAACAATTCTGTACATGATAATCAGTGTGGGTCATGGTGATAGCACATCTTCCTTTAATTTCCATTGTGGTGGATTATTACTTCACTTAGTGTTTAATTTATACATATGCCCCGAGGCTTTTAAATATCAAGTTCGTTTGATGGGAATCAATTTGGACTCCACAAAACATTCAACAAGTTGGACTTGTGGAGCCTGTGGCCCCATTATCAGGTACGCTAGACTAGAAATGAAAATGTCTGAAGCCCCATCCTCATCTTATGGTCCACCTTTCTTTATCTTCCTTCCTAAAATGCAGGAAGCTTTTATTATTTTCTCAAGAGGGAAGCAGACAGAGTATGTGATGATTTTTCATTTCCAGCGCTCAGCTCTTTTTTTCCTCCTTAGCCTTCTCTTTCCTCTCTTCTCAGGGATGCAGGCCCTTCCCAGATCATGTAGCATGTTTCTTTCCACAAATCCTTTCTTGTTCCTTCTAGTTTGCCCCAGGCCAGTTGGACAAGATTCCTATTTCAGCAAGCTACATTTTCTTTTCTTTCTTCTTTTGGATGCATGTGTGAAGAAGCAGCAATACAGACTTTGTCTGTTGTGTGGGCTCTCCAGGGCTCTCTCTAGCACCAGGCAGCCTGGGACACTGCTGAGGGTGCTTCTGTGGTGCAATTTATGGTCTTTTTGTGTATGTCTGTGTTCAGAGCTAGAGTGCTAACTGAATGTGTGTGCATAAATGCTTATCCTTCAGAAGGTACAGAAGATAGTCTTGAATACATTTTGGGTTTTGGATTTGATGCTGAACATAAGCAGAAACTCCTGCCTGTGAACTTTTTAGTTTGATACAAAGAGAAGTGAGGGAAGAAATCATTCTACTCCAGGGAAATGCATAATGTAGCCGTCTGCATGTATAAGAAAACAGACTCTGTGGCTGCCACATAAACCCAGACTGCAGCTTGGGCTCATTGTTTCCTGTCCTTCTCTTGATGTTTGTGTAAGATGGATAGGACCAGTGCTCCTCACACTCCCCACTGGGTGACTGGGGCTGTGGGCTCAGAAGCATTTGGTCTGGAGGAAGCCTCCCTCAAGCTTTAGCGTGACTGTCTTTTCTATTCTGTGCATGAACACCACTCCTTTCTTTCCTGGAAATACTGTCCAGATTTCAGAAAACCCCAAGTGGGATGCTTGGTGGCTCTTTCTACCACCTGTGACATGTCATCATTGGTCCACTGCTTTTATTATTCGTATTGTTATTTTGTTATTGTTGTTGTTGAAATCCACTGTGAGTTCTAGTGATGTGTCTATGCAGAGTATGCCTAGGGTATGATAAAGGGGTTCGTGTATCGTTATGGTCAGGCATAGCCCCAAGGCAAAGCTGGGGGAACTATTTCCAACTTGGCATGCCTTCAAAGTACAACTATAGTGTGTACTTTAATCTGATTTCACGTGTTTAAAAATTAGTAGTAGGAGACTGAGCAGGGACTGTCTGGGTCTCCAGAGGTTGAAGTCCTTTCAGTAGTGAAGTGTCTGTCTCCTGGTAGTTGGTCACTCTGGATGAGGGGTCAGCTTGGCTAGGGGCTGCAGCAAGAAAATGCTATCACTGGATGTACGAGGTAGTGACCGTTGTTTTCCTTCCACCTAATGCTGGGGCTGTGGGTTAATGCGCTGGACTGCAAAGTAAGTTTGAATCACAAGGTCAGCAGTTCAAGCTCACCAGCTGCTCATAGGAAACACTATACAGGGTTGCTATGGGTCAGAACTGACTTAATGGCCCTTCACAGCAACACTGCTGGCTAGCGATGATGGCCACTGAAGGGCTACAGAGTTCTAGGCTTGTGGTAGCCTTTGGTGACCGTGTGGGGGGATGATGTTAGGGAGGAGGGCAGCTTCCCTTTAGTAGATTTGGTTCTGTGAAGTTTAGAGGGAAAGTTGAGTAGGATTTGCAGGCTTTCTCTAAACATCCAAATGGATCCCAGACATAATCCAGCAAGGAAGATTTCATTTTTGTTTGTCTTCCTCCCTCATCTCTTTAAATAATTTTATCTTCAAAGCGTGATGCAGGCGTTAATTAACGCTCCCTGTTCTCCTGGGAGGTAGGCAAGTGGGAACACTCACTCCCATTAGTGAAGCCCAGGGAGATGTGCACAGAGAAGCAGAGTGAGTCTAGCAGGTTTAGGCCTCATGACTCTGCCCTCAGACCAGCTCAGTTGGGCGCTCTGGGAGCCACAGTGCATTCTCCGTGTCCTTAGTTCCCAGCGGAGTCAAAGAAACGAAACTAACTATGGTAGGAGAGATGTTTGGTACTGTGAGCTGTGTCTGGGAGCCTGAGGGTTGGAGAGAGATGCTAATACAATTCACTGTCTCAGAAGCAGGAATCTGATTTTGCTGTTAAATTCATTCATTCATTTGTTCTTTTGAAATTATTTCCTGAACCTTTTCTGGGTAAGGTACTACAAAGGAAGTCTCTTTTTCCAAAAGAGCTGGTTTGTTGTTTTTGTTGTAAAGTTCCATCGAGTCACCTCTGATTCACAGTGACCCTGTATAGGGTTTCCAAGGAGCAGCTGGTGGGTTTGAACTGCTGACCAGTTTGCAACCAGTTGACTGGTTTGCAGTCCAGTGCTGATCCTACAGCGCCACACCAGGAGTCCTGGTAGTTGATCTTTTGTACACAGTGCTCAGTCTGTAAGCAAAGGAAGGTGTGAGGTTTGTTGCCTCTGCAGTTGGTGGTTTCAAGTGTTGGGAAGACTCCCAGCAAATGGAAATAGATGGGAAGTCCATATGTGCCTATTAGATGTAGTAAATTGAAAGAGGCTGAACTATTTTTCTTCTCGCCATTCGTCTTTGTTGGCACAGGAGAATTCCTTAGAAGTCGTTTCCTAGGGCTGTTGGCAAGCCCACTGTCTAGGACTTCCTAGGAATGGTGATGAGGCCAGTGGGCTGGGTGTCTGGAAAGGTACTTAGGATAGCTGCTGAGAGCACTGAGCTGATATGGAACCTCCAACTCTAGTACAACCAACAAACTGGGTTCTTGAATGATTTCTTCTTATTTAGTGGTCATCTTGGGGCCCAGTGCAAGAGAGAGAAGGGAGTCATTTTGCCCTGTAAGCATTGCCCTCTGTCTAGGTGGAGGTCAGGCTCTCCTTACTTTGTCAGAAGCCTTGTTTCACCAGCTAATGATACTTCCTTTTTCTTGGCACTGCAGGCTGTTGAGAACCAGCCCTAGACCTCTGTTTGAAGGTCCTTCCTCTGAAGACATCACCCGTGTGTGGAGCCATCCCCACACCCACCCCCTGCCAAACCACGGCCTTTACCTGTGTCTTCCGGTGTTTCCCGTGCGACCCATCGTGTGGGAGTGCCTCGTGGGCCACCCCGGAGTTCACCCCACACTCAGCGGCGCCAATGGTGAAGATGACAAGATCCAAGACTTTTCAGGCATATCTGCCTTCCTGTCACCGGACCTACAGCTGCATTCACTGTAGAGCTCACTTAGCCAATCATGATGAACTCATTTCCAAGGTACATGTTTCCTGCAAGACCCTTCTGTGCCTTTTCTGGGGGAGGGTACTTCCTGTTTCCAAGGTTGCATACATTTGCAAACTCTCCCAAAAATACTGGGATATTTATAACCTATCTTTTATACGGGAGAACCGACTGACAAGACTGTCTAACTCAACTGAGAAATAATTTGAGGTTATTTTTTTTAGGGCATCCTAGGAACAGGGATGAATAGACATTGTTGTTTTGGGAATTAGATGTCATCTGGGTTGGAGGCTTTGGGGACTGTCGGTGTGCAGGTCAGAGAGGGAGGGGGTGAGCAGTGTTTGGAGGCCAATTCTATGCTTGCTTGCTGTAGCTTGGCCGATGAATGCCATGCAGAGTGTTGCCCACTTGAAAAGTGATTTAGGAAAGGTGGGGGTGGGGCGGGGCGGGGCGGTGGTAGAGGGGATACAGGGAAGGAGAGAACTGTCTTGTAAGAGGGATTTCTCAGCTGACATAAGAGGACACTGCCTTCAAAGCCCCTGGGAAAGTATGAGACAGTTGAATTTCTAAGAAAGGTAGCCTGTTGAAGAAATGACTCACTGGTCTTTGGGAACCTATCGGACTTCTACATGAGATAATATGGAATCACTTTGATCACAGTTTGAACAAAGAATGGAATCTTCTTTTCCCTGAGGAGTCTTGGCAGTTGCTTTTTGAGGTTGGGACAGGGGTTTTTAAAAAGAAAAAGAAAAAAAAAAAAATCCTGTGGCAGTCATGCAATCCAGGAACTAGATCAGCGTCATCCCCAGGAGAGCTGCCTCCTCCCTGGACCTGGATTCCCAAGAGAGGAGAAACAGGTTTTACTAGACTACATTGCTAGGAGAAAAGGATTGTGGGGGACTTTTCACTTGAAATTCATCTTTCCGCAGAACTTGGACTTCATGCCATTAAAGTAAAACAACAACAACAAAAACTTTGTATAGCTCTAGATTAAGTTAAAAAGAAAAAAATCAGTATTCCTGGAAAAAGACAGTCTGTGACTGTGGTGCTCAGCGTAAACTCTGCCAGGGCTGAGCTGGCCACAGGACAGGTTTTACCGACATGGAATAGGGAATGAGGAGAGAGGATGGCTGTGTGTCCATGTCCGTGATCTGGAGTTCCTGCGAGTGCTTCCTGACTTAGCCCCAAGTCTTTAGAACTTTTCTTCAGGTGGAGTTGGAGTTTGCCTTTCTAGGGAGCCACGTCAAAAATCAATGAGCCCGAATTCTGTCCCCGACCTATAGCAGATTGATTCCCAGGACTGTGCTAGAAAAGGTGGTATGACTCTGTCTGCCTCTGACTTGGCATACCCAGACATAGAGGGATGGAGGATCCAGTTAGTGGTTTCTGGAGTCCAGGGTTACCTCAGATCTTGAGCTGTTGAATGAAAGTATAGTGGACTTTGCCTGAGGAGCTGTCCACTTGAATGAGTCAGCTTTGCCCCTGCCCATGGGAACTAACAGGAGACAGCCTGCTTGAAGGCCTCAGAGTCTTGCCATTGGACTGGGCTTCAGTTCTGCCCCACTTGTGCTTCGTAACCATTTCTGTTATAGTTGCTCTTTGTTTCAGCCAGCCTTTAGCTTTCTTCTCTGTCAACTCATCTGATTTCGTCTGAATTTTTGGTGAACCCCTGAGTCTGGCAGTTTGGATGTGGACAGGCTGTGTCCATGAGTGAAGAAAGGGGTCAGTGCCCTCAGCTTTGGAAGAGGACCTGTGCACGTAGAGAGAAATTGTGAATTGTCCTTTTTTTCAGAAGTCTGTATCTAGGGGTGGGGTGGGGTGGACCAAGGCGTCACTTTAATATGTTCTTGTTAAGTACCATTGAGTCAATTCCGACCCATAGTGACCCTGTATAGGGTTTCCAAGGAGTGACTGGTGAGTTAGAACCGCCAAACTTGCGATTCAACTGACTTTGCAGTCTGGCGCATTAACCTACTATGCCACACCAGGACTCCTCATTTTAATATAAGAAGAGCTATGTGTCATAAGAAATTCAGGTACCAATAAAACTCTTTTGTGGAGGAGGATCAAAGACTTAATATTTTTTGAGCACCCACTATATGCTAAAAACTGTTCCTTGACACTTCATAAATGTTCTCTTACTTAACCCTCATGAGAAGTCTTAAGCTAGGTGATATGAGTTGTATTTTATATGGCTGCTGAAGCTGAGACTCAGAAGTAGTGCAAATTCTCAAACTAGCGACGGGCAGGGCCAGAGGTTCAGGAAAGAAGAGATTTCTTTGAGCTGGCGATTGGAAGAATTTCTGGAAGAGGTGGTATTTGAATGGGACTTTGTAAAATGAACAGAAGTTGATGTCTTTTCTCTCTGGCCTGCTCTCCAGAGCCTTTGACAATCTCACAGAGCCTGGTTTGTAAATTATGTCTCCTGCTAGTCCCTGTCCCTTGCTGTATTCTTCAGCTTCCAGGAAATAAGCAATATGTCTGAATATGCAGGTAGGGCTATTTCAGACCCTCTGTTCCTCTTTCAAGAGTTGGGACCATGTCCTGTCATCACTGTACCTAAGGGTCAGACTCATGGCAAGAGCTCAGTAAATGAACTAATAAATGGACAGATGGAGTGTGAACATTGGGAGAGAACCGAGTGATGAGCAATAGAGACTTCACTGGCCTCATGTCCTTCTCCCTGCCCCTACTGCTCCCCTTTGGGGTAGAAAGGCTCATTCACAAGTCCAGGCCAAAGTCAGCACTGGCTTCAGTTTCATTGCTGTGGCTACAACCAGTGTACAGATGGGGGTGTATTAGAGCGTGATGATTTAGAGAGTTGGGTTAGATGCCTAACTGTGGGGAAAGAGTGAGGGAACTGCGGCTGGCCTTGCACAAAGAGTCCTTTATTTCACTCCACAGCCACCCCCGGTGTTAAATAATCTATAGATTCTTAGGCAGGTCTGCTTGACGGAAAAGATCATTGCTCCAGCCCCCTTCTAGGAAAATGAGTCTTTTCTTTTAATTTTTTGTCTCCTCCTCTCTCCTCCATGGATGAAAGTTCACAGAGAGAATGTCTGTCCTGTTCTCCCCTCTTGACTTAATCTCCTACGCGGTTTAAAAGTCTGTCCAGTGGGAGTTGGGAAGCAGATAACTGGAGCAGCAGTGTAATTAAATGACATTTTGTACTTGTCATAGAGCTTTTCATCTGAACGCTTGACATTCTCTGTTTGGCCAAAAAAATTTTTTGCGTTGGCCTTCATTATGGAGAAAGGGCTGCAAAGGTCCCGAGAAATATCACTCAAGTATATGCTCAAGCAGAGATCTGGGACTTGTGTTCCCTGTCTGTCCTCATGGTTTAGTTTAGGTGGAACTGTGTACTTTGCAAAGTTTTAAACAATGAGGGTCTAGGTTGGTATGGTGGAAAGAATTATGCCCTAGATCTTCCACTTCCTCAGTTTACTCTAGAACCCTAAAGGCCTACTTGCCTGAAATCAACTATCTAATCTGACTCTGTTTTGTGCTCACAGACTGGGCAAAATAATATTTATGTGTTCTAAGAGCTAGTAACTACTATTTATTTAGTACTTACTATTTGCCACCCTTCATTTAATTCCTACCATAGTCTTGTGAGGTAGGATAGGAGTGACTTTTTTTTATTATTATTTATTTTGACCTTTTTATTTTTTTGAAGGGTTTGGTTTACCTCATTGGGTTGTTAGGAGGTTCAGATGATATCATGGATGTGTGGGTTGTTTGCAAATTACAAAGCTTTTATGCAAATATCAAGTTGTCCCGTTGCTCCTCTTGGCCTTGCTGTTATTTATTTTAAAAACAGCAACAAAAGGTGAGATGGGTCCCCTGGGATTGTTTCTGTACAGCACGAAGCAGATTTAGTTCAGCTAAGATTGTTTTACTTTAGAACCTGGAGGGTGCTAGAAGTCAACAACAGCAAAGTTGAGTGTTCCTGCTTTGAAATGAAGGTAGCACAGCATTTGCTCTGTAGGATTATAGGGGGAATTCTTTGAGTTGATGATGGAACTATCTAGGGAATGTGCTGAGGCATCCTACAGTTTCTTTCTTGGGGTGTTGTGGTCTAAATGCATGCAGAGGTATTCTGAGTTGGCATGAGGAATTGCTCACACTGTTGTTTCTTCCTTAATGCTGCAAGGCCCAGTGTAAAAATACTTTGGTTATGAAATAATAATAGCTTTAACTGGAACAGTTAGCTGCCCCGAGTGAGAAGAATCTAAGCACTCATTTTAGTAGAACCAATCTGTCTGTTGGGGGAAACCTGGATCTTCATAAAGCTTTGAGTTAGGAATTTTCTGTCTGTAGCCCTTCCCTTGCCTCCCTGCTAATCCCTCAGTGACATGTGGAGCAAGTCATGTGGGACCAGTGAATTGGATTTATCCATCAGGAACCCACTTTGGGGAAGTGTGACTTCGTTCCAAGACACTTAGTTGCTTTTGTGCTCTGCGGCCTTGGAGGAAAGACATTGTAGGAGCCTGTTGAGTGAGTGTCCAGTGTAGGGGGTAAGAAGAAATCTCTTGCTCACCCTCAAACTGTCTATACTGTGTGAAACTTGCAGATTATCTTCTGGTGACAAATACAGCTTTCCTGGCTGTGAAGATTATCCTGTCCAAGCCCCTCTTCACGAGGAAATCTGAGGATCTCATTGACTAGCCAGAGGCTACATAGCCTTAGAACCGGCAATCGCTCTCTCTCATTTCTTCAGGTGCTCTGTGTGTGAGAAGCCTGGCCTGACTAATTCCCACCAGCGAGGCAGTTGTTCAGAGGCCAGAAACCTTTAGAGAGCCAGTTATTTCTCTTTCCCTGTAGGGTTCCATTGGGTTTACCATGGTGGCATTTTGGTTTTCTCTTCCTGCTTAGAGATTAGATGTTGCATTACACTGAGAAGAGTGGTAGGGAGTAAAGATGTTTTGAATCAAGCTGTGTACTGATCTGGTGACTATGGAGAGACCCACTCTGCCCTCAGTTTCCCAGCCTCAGCTTGGCACTAGTGTTCGGCACCTGTGATTCTGAAAAAGATT